CATTGGGTCCCTTCGCAGTCTCTGTCTACGCTCGCCAGCATATTCCGGCTGGAAGCGAACACAATGAAACTCGCAAAGAACTCCGGGCAAAATTCCGTGCTAGCCTGAAGAGAGACCGCGAATCCTGGTGGTATCATCATGCATCGGAGATGGAAATGGCCACTGCCCTTGGTAACCATCTTAAGTTATTCCGTCTGATATGGGAAACAGGCAGCAGAAGACCTGGTGTTAGTGAAACTATACGTGACGAGAGTGGACACCCTATCCACAACTTGTGAAAAGGCTTGGAGCCTTGGGCTGAGCACTTTGAAAGGCAATTTAATTGGTCGGAATTGTCAGATTTCTCGCCGGCCACTGACCATCCCGCTCCCTGGGCTGTCCGTTTGGATCCACCCTCTCGCTCAGAAGTCGAACGTGAGATCGGACTGTTGAAGTTGAACAAAGCCGCGAGACTAGATGATTTACCTCCATCCCTCTTCAAATCCGGGGGACCTGCTTTGGTGGATGATGTATACGTTTTACTAGTGAAACTGTGGGAGCAGAAAACTGTCCCAACCGACTGGAGTCGCTCCGTCATAGTCCCAATTTTCAAAGGAGGCTCACGTTCGGAATTCCGCAACCATAGAGGAGTCAGTCTGATCTCCATCGCCTCCAAATTGCTTGCCTCTGTCATCCATCAGACTGACTGGCACTCGTGAAAGCCATATTCGTGAAGAGCAAGTCGGGTCTCGTCGAGGTCTGGGCTGCAATGAACACGTCTACACTTTGCGTCAGTTGTTGGAGCACTGTCACATATATTGGCGGCCCACCGTTGTCGTGTTCCTCGATATCAAAGGTGCATTCGATTCGGTGGATAGACATGCACTTTGGGACTGTCTACTCAGGAAAGGTGTACCTTAGAAATATGTAAATATTATCCGAGCATTATACGCGCGTAGCTCGGGCAGAGTGAGGGCTTACGGTAAGCTGTTGCCGCCCTTTAATATCTCCAGCGGGTGTGAGACAAGGATGCCCGCTGTCTCCCTTTCTCTTCAACTTCGCTATTGAGGAAGTCATGGAAATCGCGTTCACAGGACAAGACTTAGAAGGTGTGGATCTGCTCCCAAAAGAACGACTTCTTGACTTAGAGTATGCTGATGATATTGACCTAATCTGTGACAGCACACAAACGTGCCAAGCGACACTGGACAGATTAGCACTGGCCGTCCGTCACTTCGGGCTTTGCTTCGCACCCTCGAAGTGCAAAGCTTTTTTCCAAGATTGGTCTGGACCGTCTCCTTCGTTGACCCTTGGTGGGGATCAGCTAGAAGTCGTTTAAAAATTCAACTACCTGGGAAGCTGTATCAGCGTCCGTGGGATTGAAGATGAGATCACGAACCGTATAGCAAAAGTTCGAGGCGCTTTTGCTAACTTTCGCCACTTATGGCGCCGACTCGACATCATTCTCGCTCTGAACGGTAGAGTGTGCAATGCAGCGGTACGCTCGACCTTATTGTACGGCTGTGAAACCTGGCCGCTTAAAGTAGCGGACCTGAGGAGGCTAGTTACGTTCGACCACCGGTGCCTTCGTAATTTAGCTCACATTTGGTGGGAACACCGCGTGAGTAACGAGCGTGTTCGACGCCTTGTTTATGGAACAGGAAAAGGAAATGAACCGCTCAGCACCGTTATTTCACGCATCAGGCTCCGATGGCTCGGCCACGTGTTACGCATGCCAGCCCACCGAGTCCCGCGACGTGCGTTATTTGCGCGCCGGGGATGTGGATGGAGTAAGAGGAGTGGTAACCAAGCGATGACTTGGTCGAGAGAAATGCAACCCCTCACTTCGAAGCTGGCTTCGGTTGCAGCATCGCGACTTCCTGGATGCGGTCAGGAAGACGATGAACACGTTTGGCTGGATACACTTGCTGATATGGCTAGGAGCCGACCTCAATGGCGTTCGTGCTGTGAGTTTCTTTGTCCCACCTCATCCCTCTTAGCCTCCCTCTCGAACCACGATCTCACTATTTAGCCTTATATATATTTCTGCATATTATTTTTTTTTGCTGCAAAGTAGCCGGCTGGTAGCTTACCGGAACGATGCCCAGCCGTTACCGGTAGCTCAGCTGACTGGCATCTGTTGCATTTCCCCTTTGTTCTTTCATGTATGGCGGAACAGTAGCTGAGGTTTTTCCGACCTCTAGCCTACTTGTATAATGATAATGATGTTGACGTGTAAAACGCAGACAAAACAGGTCCTTTTAACCAAGCGACTTTAGAGAGCTTTTTGTTTTCCTGTCGACAAGCTAAGTGGATCGGAAAAAGCCCCCGTGCTGTGCGAATATGTCAAGCACAGACAAAAGAAAGCTGGTTTTGATTGGAAGACGTAAGAAGCAACGAGTTTTAGTGGCGTGAAAGTGGACACAGTTGCTGTATATTACAGAGCTAAGAAAAATGTGTGGATGACGGAAGAACTTTTCACCGAGTGAGTTTTCGTATGGGACAAGGAGCTAGGCAAAAGATTAGGTTGCTCTTGGATAATTGCACAGCGCATCCACAGCAAGGCCTGAAAACATGCAAATAAAATTTTTACCGGCAAACTTGACTAGCCTTCTTCAACCCATGGACGAAGGTGTGATAATGTATCTGAAAATCCGTCACAGAAAAAATAATTGTGGACTGGATTCTTTATCATATCGAAAACAACGTGTCATTTGGCTCATCTTCGGTGGTGGATGTTAGCGCCAGGATTTCTGTACTCGATGCAACTCAGCACGTCTCAAAAAGTTGGACAGGTTACCGACGCAACAATAAAGACAGGCTTTCGGCATGGTGGCTTCAGTCTACTGGCACCGATGCACTTTTCGAGGACGCCGTCATCGTAGAGGACGAGATCAGCGCTTTCACAATCCCAGTCATTAATGCAGTAGAGTTCGTCGCCATTGACAACGATGTGGAATGTGCCTCAGATCTGACAACTGTTGAAGATGAAATCGTCAGTAAAATTTTAGAGCATCGACTAGAACAGACAGAAGGCAGCGACTCAGAGGATGACGTGCCAGATGCCTCCGTGAGTAACAGTAATCTGCGCGTGTCGCATTCAAGAGCAAATAACTGTGAATGACCTGTGTAGGTACGTACTGTTGCAGGGGCAAGGCAACGATTTCTTATCCCCATTGGACTTCATCAGAGCAAAAGTGAACGGAGTAGCAGCTCAAAATAGTATACAACTGTGGTTGGAGTGTTTTCAGGAAAAATATGCAATAGTGCCAATTTCTATAGCTATCCAGGTAAGATGTTTTGTAATAATTTTTAAATTATAGCTCATGCTCTGCTGAATATACGTTTTTTGTAGGCTTTAGATTTAAGTAGGTATTTTATACTTCTTAGCACGTTACAATTCGAGTGATATACTGTACAATAATTCAATGGTTGTTTCCCTTTGAAAAAATGACGATATCGGTTAATTGCGCCACCTGTTTTATTGTCCACTTTTGAAATATCCTGATGGTGGGCAATAAAGCGGATTCGACTGTACATTTCGGCGCTGCACAACGTGGGTCTGGATTGACCAACAAGCTGTAAAACGCGCTACTCCGCAACAGAGGGTGTAAGTCGAGGGCATTCATTAACATTTGCCATTTGAGGATGATATTGCAGCTGCTATCTTATCTCGACGCTTGAAAGATGACGTTGAGAAAACTTATATCGCAGCCCGCTTGAGAATTGTATGCCACAAGCAATTGCTTGCAAAACCCTTGAAAGATAGCCTGCCGTCGTTGACTCGTTCAATGCTCGTTTATCAGTACTCGTGCTCCTGTGGTGCACGATACGTGGGTCGCACAACGAGACGCCTATCCCAGAGGATTCACGAGCACATCCCGGCGTGGTTTTACAAAGGCGAAATGGGGTCTTCGAACAGTTCGATCATGTTGCACCTCCTTGAATGTGGCCAAACTGTATCTGAGGATGACTTTAAAGTCATCTACTCACTACCTGAACGCTTCTCGCCAGGATTCCAAAAGCAGCTCTTGTCTAGTGCCGAAGCTATTTACATCCACCACCTGAAGCCGGAATTATGTGTACAAAAACGATTCATACGGCCGATACTACTACCGTGGCGGACTGACATGGTTACTTAGTTCCCCTTTGTGACCTTACCTATTTGATTTAGGCTGCTGAAGTTTGTGTATTAATTTTCCTTTGGTGCACTTTTCGTGCCATCTGTAGCCGCCTTTAATCATCGATCTTGACGGTTTAAACACCTTAGAAATCAATCCCAGCCCGATTTGACGCTTACCCCACACAATCAGTGTTATGTAAACGTTTGGGTCTGACGAGTTTACCGAAAAGAATTCTTAACCCTAACCGATTTCTGGTCTTGATTTATGTGGATGAAATGGGAATATTCGCTTTGCTGAAGAACAGCATTGTCCGTGATTCATTGCAGGTTTAACAGGGATGTGTTTGACAAAGGTTCTGCGTAATTCTGTGGTCGGTACCGCGGCAGCACTCAGGCCAAAAGAGAGTGACAGGTGGTCTACAAGCTAAATGCTCACGTGCGTAACTGCAACCAAAATGCACATGGACAAGATAGTGAATTTTACTTTGACTGAACAACGTTACTTGCAAACCGAGTCCAATCGCACACGAGCAGTTAAAGTGGAGCCGACAGGTGAAGCTGGCGAAATTCGAGCTAGTCGTGATGACAGTGAGTAAACAGAAAACTTAGTCGGCCGGTCTGTCATCGACGGGAAAGTTCACCTTGGACCGGCAGCGGAGTAGCATACACAGAGCGAAAGTAAGGACAACAACAGTAGAACTCGTACCAACGAAACTGCCTGGTTGCGCAACTTCTGGTAGCCCCAAGATCGTGCAGAATCGTGTGGCGATATGTGGACAAAAAGCACACAGAAGTACATATTGGTACACAAGTGTGAAGACGCGAGGCATATTCATAACGTTTAAAATAAACAGCAACATCAAAACACACTGGAGATTCTAACAAGGAATCTGCTTACCTTTGATTCCTTTGAATATGGCTCAAAATATTCCATAGCCTGGTGATGGAGATGATGATCTTCGGCATAGTTTATAAGGTCGGGAGTGTATTCGGGACCTGTAACCAACAGTGTACGTTGAATAGGCGGTAGATATATTCATGGTACTTAATCAACGACATAGAAAAGTAACAGAAATGGCAGTGGGAAAAAACGAACCAACAAGTCAGCTAGAAACACGAATGACAAAAACTTACATCTAGCTAGGTGGGTGTGCTGCAAAATATTGTGAAATAAGCTATCAGAATTTGATACCTATGCCATATGCAATGCAACAGTGTCTCCAATTAGCGCAAAGTGACTAATTGTAGTAACATATTCGAATTTCCATCCACAACTTCTGTAATGAACAAATATACTAAAAATATGTTTACTGGAACTGGGTGACAGTTTGTTGACAAACGTCGTAGACAGCAAGGGTGAACCATCGTTACCTGTACCATTTTGTCAAGGTTATGGTTGGCCCACCCTCATATACGACACATAATGGCATCGCTGTACGATACACTAGTAGTAACATTTCTAGTGTTCAAACCATCATTTGCAGGTTTTCACCTTCAGGTTACACTGTAGTTGTAAAATGCCGAAGGCGTAATCGCAGCATAGTAAAGCCAACACACAATTAATCAAATGACTAAATGAGCAAAGTAATTTAGCACACCGGCTTGATTTAGATGGTCCAGTGCTTTCGAATACCGTTGAAGATGATGGTCAATTCTGAAGCGCTGATAAGCGATGTGGTTTGTCACGGGATTATCCGACGGGTGGCTGCGATGCGCGACGGCACGAAAATCATTAAGATCGGTTAAGTACTCCTTGGGATCAAGCTTGGTCCTCTGAGCCATCAATTGTGCCAAGTCCAGATTGTACGTACCCAAAGCGATTCGGTACAATTCTACCGGGGTTGCAAAATACTGCAGATGTTTTACACCACTTTCCCAGACTTGGTTTTCACCGCATTCTGCCAACAAACAAGGGAAAAACAGATAAACAAAGCATGTGAATCATCAGAAAGGTGATCAAGCAAGCAACTGCGTAAATGCTACCAAAACAGGGAGGTAATCGGGAGATGGATAACGAGCGCACTGACTTTGTTGCGCATAGGTTAATACGGACTACTGAAGGGAGTCCGAATGAGGTTGCAGCGACGGAACTATGCTAAATCCAATTACGTCGCACGAAACGTATATAAATAATGCTAATTCGAATTGCAAAACTGGACTACAGGTACGGTGTGGGCAGAAAACGACTGAAGCAGTGGGCAGAAACAGATAATCATAACAGTAACGCTAGTAGTGGACTGGAGGATGTCCATGCAAATGAATAGCGATATTCGTTTGAGAATGTAACAGTCTAAAGCGCGAAAAGCGTGTCATAAACCAGCAGAGTGGAGCTAGCTCGGAGCAGAGGTACTGAATCATCGAGGGGGAATACTCGATCTGGTGCAAAAAGTTGAAGTTCGTTGTGATTTAACACTCGCCCAGTGGCTGTCCTAACTTGTTCAGCATCTCTTCTGGTATCGATTCTTCCAGTAGACTCCTCTGATGCCCGTTGCACATATTTCGTGCTTCGTATTTACCGCCATTGCCTGCACAAATTAGTCACTATATTTCCCATTCTCATACACAACTGCCTTTGAGCGAACGTCTACTGCTCTATGTAAACTAATGTACTCGCTCTCCTCCTGAGATACCTTACTCAGTCGGCAGGTGGCCGACTGGTCAGCACGCCTGGCTTGAAATCATAAGGTCACCGGTTCAAATCCGCGTAGAAGCGGGCGTCCTCGAGCGAATGGTGGTGGTCGCGTGTCAGCGAAGCGCCATTACGGCATACAGCTGATAGATTAATATACTCATTATTATTACCTTACTCTATACTCTGACTATATCTCTAGTGTTGCATAAATATGGGGTGTTCACGTAAGCAGTCAGTACACCAGAATGGCACTGAAGCAGAAATCGTAGTCGGCCATTACCTTCGGACATAGCGTTGTCACGGGCTTCGTGAAGAAGGCATGCGAAACGCTACTGTTCACCTTGAGAAGTGTCTTCATCTGTCCCACATTGCCGCTGACATAAAGAATCTCTTCCTTCATCAGTGATAAGAGTTGTCTGAAAAATACAACACTTGGCAGCTGAGGCATCTGTCAAGGCAGAATACTGACGGGAAGCGCTTGAATAACTGCTGTGGTTAGTTCTTCCATAGGCATCTCTCTCTGCAACGAGTGACAAGTGTCGATGATAGAAAAGAGAACTGAATGGATCTTCACGAGACTGTCACCTGGAACTGATCTACATCGACCTTCGACAGACGCTGATAATATGGTTGGACACAATACAACCCGAATTAGATGGTTTTATCAAGCTTTTCATCACACTTGGGCTTCAACAAACCAAGCGTGCTATTCGATGAAAAAATAACAGGCGGTTGTAGCTATTCAAAAAAGTGACCTCATCCAAGTTGTAGTGACAATATGTGAGGAGACCGAAAGTCTGCCTGCTGAGCATTACAGTATGATAATAGTGAATACAGCCCAGTCATACATTAACGCGTAGAATCTACAAAAACAGTAGAAATTAATCCCCAGCCCCATTTGACGCGTACGACAAATTGACCCTGTTATCTAAGCGTTCAGGTGTGATGAGAGTTTACATGAAGAGAATTCTAAACCCAGCATTAAATTCTGTTAGCCTTCTATCAGTATCCTTTTCGGAGAAGCATGCAGTTAAAGAAAGGGTGTTGAGTCAGAACTTTAGTAGATCCCAATAAGAAATGCCATCAAGATGCATCACGGTTATGACGAATACTCCAGGATGATAAATCATCATCATTAACAGCAGTACAACAGACATATAGATTGATGTTTCGCTGCCGTACAACCATGTCGACCAAAAGAGGGAAGAATGATAACAGGGGGGACCTATCGTAAAACTTTAACGCCCTAAACAAACATTCATGGGCAAGGCGTCTACACCCTGTTAACAAAATACCGTCACAAACAGCTATCGTGCCAAGATAAGACGGCATCAGAGAAACAGTTCCTTGTGGCTTTCACTGCCCCGCCTCAAAATCTTCCACTACCCCGCAGATAACTCAGCATCAAACCCATTGTAAACAGGGATTCCGGCTAGAATACGGCAGCAGATACGCCACTGATGTAGACTACGAGCCATGTCCTGTACCGCCTCAAGCCAGGCACAAGGCGGGTTCTGTGGACTTCAGCCTGGAAGGCGAGAGGTATCAACAGCTCCCAGTTTGGCAGTCAGTGACTTCATTTCCCGCGGCCAAGTCAACTTCTGTCCACCTCGAACATTGCGCCACCCTGCATCTGGCAAACAAAACAAGGTCCTCTTAGGTGAGCGCTGACCGGACATGGGTAGTGCGAGCCCCAGCCAACGCAACTTATTCAGTGCTATCGACTGTTCTAGGGAACTAGCATGATTATCACTGCTTAACACTCGCTCACGCACATCATCGTTGCTGACACGCTGATGCCATCCGACACCAGCAATGCTCCGCAGACAGCGATGATGGAAGACTTGAAGGAGCCGCATGTCCTCACATCGAGGGGACCAAGTCTCACTTCCATAGAGTAGGACGGACCCCACTTTGAACTCGTAAAAATGGCCTTTCAGATAGACGGCAACTTCTTTTTGTCACCAAAGATGTCGCAGATTCAAGAAAGCAGTTCTGGCTTTCGCAATACGTGAACTGACTTTAGTGCTTATGCGCCCATTGTTGCTGAGGCAGCTGCCAAGGTAAGTGACTTGATTAACTATCTCGAGTTCCTTGCTATCGAGGGATCATCAAGTGACTGGTGGTCCTGTAACAACACTTATCGCTTTGAAAGTGTGAAGCGCCTGCTAAATAATGGGACCACTCTAGAGATGCTATCCAGGGTTGATTGTGCCGCCCCAACATCGTCAAAAAGCAAGACGATATCGTCCGCATAATCAAGATCCACTAACCTTTTACCAGACAGGGCCACAACGCTAAGCTTGTGAGGCTCCGTAATAGAACACTCCATGATGGAGTCCACGGCGAAATTAAACAAAAAGAGGAAATCAGACAACCCTGGCGAATGCCACTTATTGTCGGGAAGGATTCTAATACACTGCCGTAGACCCTGATGCGGTCCGTCGGGGGGGGCACATAAAATGTGCACATATTTCATAGGAATACATCCATGCACATGCGAAAAGGTCACACTGTACGGTCGTAGTAGTCGGTTGCTCGTTCAATTCTCGGAATTAAAGGTTACAATCCTCGCGCACACTGACAGGCTTAGGCTCATTCGACGCACGTTTATCTTCTCTGTCCGTTAGACATAACATTGTAGGAATAATTTCCTTGCTTTATTACCGAACTCGCCAAATATATATCACAGATTTCTGGCTAAAATCTATATGTACATGTGACCACATTTTTGAGCGAGTACCCGGTCACTTACCATTAATCGAAGGGGCGTCATCATTACCATTCAGCATTCTGGAAACCATCTTGATACGATCTTTGCGGTAGTTACATTACGTTTTGATACTGCCAGCTGTGGATCTATCTTTTTATATGAGTACATGTTTATATGAGTATGTTTGCGATCCGAAGTGTTGCGGAACCGAACATCGTGTGCTGACCAGCTCAACCCAGCTGCAGGTACAAGATATGGCCCGAAAGAATGTTATCCCGCCTGGATGCATTCCGATAGTGGAGCAAACTGTGGAGGTTTCCCCAAAGGCGGTTTGGCCAGTATTTAGGATATCGAAGCACTCAGGGCAGTACCATTGCAGGATGGCGGAGTGATACAATGAAACTGAGACCGGTATGAGCCGTTTTAAAGACCTTGACGTAAGATCAGGACACTGGTTTCGACGGAGGCCATGTTCGGGTACACAATCAGTATAGGTAACTTTGAGTTTCTCAGCGCTCACTAAAAAAGTCGTTCAATTTGCTTCAGATTTTATCAAGCAGATTTCATTATAGTATACAAGTCGATGCAAAAACGTTGTAGGTGATTCCCAGTCTAATATATTTACCATGTGTGCACCAGGTTCATAAAACAGCCGCAGGACGTTGGCACGTGCAGAGCGATCAGAAACGGTTAGTGTCACAACGCTCAAAATCATTCGAACACTTAGGACCCATCAGTAGCCCACCATTAACGTACAACGGTGGTCCTGATACAGAAGAGAAGAAAGGGGTATAAAACTCAAAACCGAAGCGCGCTAGGCAGAAACTCTAGAAGAAGGCAACTTCAATTTATCAACAAGGCAAAGTAACGGATAGCTGGTAACAATGTGAAGCTAAGATATCGATGAGATAGTTTCCGTGCGTCCTTCACTACCAGAGTTAAAAGCAAAATAACCAGCAGAAAAGTTAGTACAACACGCACTCCAGAGTGGCAACACACACAGGACACGATAGTAACCATGTCAATAGGTTGTGAAACCTGGCCCCTTAGATCAACGGACATAAAGAGGCTAGTTACGTTCGATCATCGGTGCTTTCGCAATTTAGCACACATCTGGTGGGAATACGGAGTAAGCAATGAGCGTGTTCGACGCCTTGTTTTCGACGCAGGAAAAGGAAATGAACCGCTCAGCACCGCTATTTCACGCACCAGGCTCCGATGGCTCGGTCACGTGTTACGCATGCCAGCCCACCGACTCCCGCGACGTGCGTTGTTCGCACGCCGGGGGTGTGGATGGAGGAAAAAGATGGGTGGTCAAGTGATGACTTAGTCGAGAGGAATGAAGGCCCTCACTTCGAAGCTGGCCTCGGTTGCAGCGTCGCGGCTCTTTGGTTTGGGTCCGAAAGACGAACACGTTTGGCTGGATACACTTGCTGATATGGCTAGGAGCCGACCTCAATGGCGTTCGTGCTGTGAGTTTCTTTGTCCCACCTCATCCCTTTTAGCCTCCCTCTCGAACCACGATCTCACTATTTAGCCTTGCATATTTCGGTATAGTAGCCGGCTGGTAGCTTACCGGAACGATGCCCATCCGTTGCCGGTAGCTCAGCTGGCTTGCACCTGTTGCATTTCCCCTTTTTTCTTTTATGTATTGCGGCACAGTAGCTGAGGTGTTTCCTGCCTCTAGCCAACGTGTAGTGATGATGAGTGCTGGTTGCGAGACAAGTCCTGTCCTGTCCGAAAGAGCCTCGGGTTGGATCAGGTGGAACCCAGCACGGGAAATAAAACGAGACAACAGCAGACGCACGAGTGGCCAACGAAGTAATTTTACATTGTTAAATGAACGATTTTCCCCCTCGAGCTACCCAACAACATAGATCCGGTGAATGAAATAAGATGCTACTCGAAAAACGGTGAGCCGGCATATACGGCGCGTGTCACATAGAACGCAGCTTATTCAGTGCAGTTCAGTTACCTACAAAACTAGTCTCCTCATCACCGCTGTGCACTTACTAGCACGCATCATCGTTACAGGTACGATGACAATAACTGAGGCAGTAGGTAACGATGGCCAAATACCGAAGGAGCTTGAGATCCTTGTGCCGAAGGGAGCAAGCATTCATGTCACAGGGGAAAGCAGTCATCTTTAAGGCCTTGCACACATGGCGTCCCAGACCAAGAAATATTCTGCTCTGGCGCCGAACGTGTCAAAGACTCAGGGAGGTAGCACTAGCCTCATTATACGTGAACGAATCCCCGCTAGCACGCTCCCGGAGTCGCCAACAAGTGGGAATTGATGAGTTGCCTCAAATGTCAAGCACATGAGAGCAAAGAAGCGGATGATGGTACTGCTATAGCACTGCATACTAAATCTGAAGTGGGTGGGGAGGGGGACCATATAGTTGGAGAACGCACACAACCGGTTCGCGGGAAATACGAATGAAGCAGTATGGGAAGCAGAGTAAAAAATACTCGCGAGTATTTCAAATGATAAAACAACTGTTATCCAACTGTTGCTTACTGATTTAGGTAAGGCAAGAGAAGCTGTTACCTATATAATGTCGCAATTGACAATGTCCCAAAGCGAAAAGAATAACATCTTGTCTGGTTAAACAAAGCGGTATTGAAGTCTGGTGAACACAGTGGCTAGGAAGATTGTGGCTGATCGAAGAGCGATAATGGATAAAAAATGTGACTCACCATGGTACTCTTGAAGTTGCAAAAGTGCGCTATGCAAATCAGAGGGGATTTTCTTCGCATAACAAGTCAAAACCGGTAACAGAAAGCTAAAATGAAAAGAGGACTTTTGTGACAAGAGTTCTCACCTGATTATCGAGACAAAAGCGCTGGAAAGATGAAAGACTCACCGTTTATCGTGGCGCATTCGATGGATCAGTGCGTCGCATATATTGTTGACTTTAGTACCAGAACGGCTCGACAGTACATCGGGAGTGGTAGTCTCAGCCGGTCGATTCCGGAGTAACTGTGCAGACGGGCTGCCATAAAATTTCCCGTAAACAGTCTGCGAAACATCTTCGTTACTACACAATTTGGGGGCAAGGAACAGTGAATCACATAACGTGTTAAGACTTACACCAATTCCGAAACAAACAGTGTAATCAGATCAGTGTTGGCGACCGTCTTCACGAGATGATCCAAATTTCGCATGAATTTGACAGGATTGTGATCGTGCAGCAAATTGAGATTAATGCGGTGACGACGCATGAGTTCTAGTGCATTCACATAGTCCAGGCTAAATAAATGGGGGAGCAAATGATCCGAGAGAGTGGAAAGAGTGAAGACTAGAGGAACAAAAGAGAACTTATCAGGGATAAGTGAAAGTGACATCAAATATGAATTAGAAAGTGAGTAAGAGTAAGGAACTGGTGTTCCGTATAATGTAAACGTTTCAGTAAATGTATTTTGCACTCAGAAAACACCACGATGTGGTCGGTCGGTGGCCAAAAGAGTGCACGCCTGGCTTGCAATCCTTAGGTCACCGATTAGAATATGCGTAGAGGCGGGCGTCCTCACAGTATACTCAGCCCAGGCGCGACCCGCGGTGATCGCGTGGCGACGAAGCATCGGTACAATGAGTTGGTGACTTGCTTAAAGATGTAAGCGAAAATCGAGTAGCCCAGGGATCTGGAAGTAACTTACGAGTTCAATAAATTGGCCAAAAGTGTCAACACGAGTGCTCTCGGGTGAACTTCTTCCAGATTTCCTCTCGGTGGTTGTAGAATTACTCTGGCCTCATTCGGAATTGCGCTCACTAACAATGCATCCCTTTCAATCGGATGCAAATAGTCATCGTACCAGTTATGTGACTTGACAGGATTCATGGAAATTAATGAAGGTGGTATCGATAGCCTTGTGGTTAGCTCTGAAAAGAAAGAAATGGCTGTAAGGTTAGAGAGACTAAATAATCCAGCGCCAAAGCACAAAATTAGGCATTAAACTTGATAAATGCAGTCGCCTCTGAGATTACCCAAAGATGCAGAAGAGGAAAAAATGCCATCGTACTCAACATAACTGATAAAATCTCGCTCGACATTAGGTATACTGTTTCGACAGCGTGCGACATTGCTGAGACCGATATTAGTTGTAGAAGAATGAGGAAAAAATATTTACGTTTTCCTTGTCCGACTGTTCAGCTTTCGTAGCGAAAGTCTCGCAAGTGCGTTTATCAAATGCTAAAATATCTTGAGCTCTGTTCTGAAATTTGGCAGTTATTCTATTCGAAGACACGTCACCCTTGAAACATGAACGTCAACGCATGAGTGCAACTAATGTCTCGCCTGAGCAGAAGCAGAGTCATCCCGCTTGCGCGCCTCCTGGAGTGCCCAGTAGGAGGTCATTTAACAGCGTTTGGATCTCCCTTTTAAAAAACGCAGATAATGTTGGCAAGGCCACTCACCACACAAGTGATGCCAACGTTGGCGACAGCGTAGCGGAAATTGATATGCTCACGAATCCACACGACATCGGTCTTGTGGACATAGGAAGTAGTGTAGATTCACTCGATGCACCACATTCTGACAAACCAGTAGGAATTGGTATCAATTCCCACACTGCGACTGAAACAGATACAAGTCCAAAAACATCCAGTGGGACTGTCGCTAGCTCCAGTGAGGGTGCATTACGGCCCATTGGCATTACGACTACACATAGCAGCGGTGGCCATGGCCCACGCCCTAAGCGTTAGATCAAACAAAGGCCTTCATACTGAAAAGGTGACTCCCCGTGTCCCAGTGAAAGTCGTCAGTAATAATGCTTCGACACAGAGTGGCAAGCCACAGTTCCCAATTTTTCAGGTGATGTGCCAAGGCTGTTTTTCTGATAGGCCTATACATAGATTGGCTGAAACACGAATTATTTATGCCCCTTTCCGTACTCTCTTCCGCCTCCTCATCTCACAATGCCCTCTGCGAGCCTTTCGGTAATAACACCCTATCCACTTAAACTCGATCGCCCCAAAATACCATAGCATTCTTTCTGCACTCCCCCACCCATTCTCCCACCCCTCTAATCCCGATAGAACTGGCGAATCTCACGGTTAGGGATTTGCTTCGGAAGGCTCTAGAACTAATGTGATTACAAGAGTAAATACTGGATGGAATGATGAGCACCGCCAGGATATTTTAAAACTGATTATACTTAATATCCGTTCTCTGTTGAATAAGCTCCATTTATTCCGCGCCCTCATATGCATGAATAAACGTGATATGATTTTACTCACTGAAACCTGATGTCATGATTCTATGCCCAGTCAGCTGCTTTCTATAGGAGGTTACAAGTTATTAGAAGTGATCGAAAGCAAGGCAGAGGAGGTGGTTGCATGACTTACTACTCGCGAAATCTTGTCTCTGAATTCACACTTCCGCTTATATGTCCTAATAGTAATTCTGCTTGGTTACTCTTGTCCTTTGGTACTAAACGAACGATTGTAGGTTGTATATACCGTTTCCCCGAGGTCAGCCTCAGTAATGAAAACCAGTCGGTTAACATCTGTAATTACATATGGGAACTTGGTTCATTGTTAAAGTCATTGACGGAAATGGTAACCTACCAGACATCTGTTGGTCCAAGTTAGTAACAAACGTGAAACATGCTGATTTCATAACCGTCATCACTTGTGGTTGGGAGCAATATGTTCTCGCGGCTACCAGGCGTAAAAAAAGACTAGACCTACTTTTTACCTCAGGTACATCCCCGATAGATACTGATGTAATTGGGAGTCTCCCTGGATGCGATCGCAAAAAAGTCGGATGTAAAATTATAGCTGAATCGTCGCATGTGAGGTCAGCGGTGGTTCCACACTTCCTGCAAAATGTCAATTGGGTAACTTTCTCCGCTCCGCTTAGGGTCCAAAATTGGGATCATTTCTTTCTTTCGTCTGATATTCAGGGAGCCTCTGACATCTTCAATGACAATGTGACTATGTGCTTAAGCATGCTTGCCTCCAGTGATAATACGAGAGCCTCTTCTAAGTACGTTATCAACGCTAAGGACAAGCGGAAAATACGAGTGCTAACTCGAACATATGGACATACCCACGACTTCAGCGTATTACTGAGACTCCAACGTCTGATAATTGAGACGGTCATGACACACCAAACCCGTCTCATACAGAAAGAAAAACGAGCTGTAAATAATAGTAATACAAGTCAACTGTTGACTGCATTATTGAGAAAAAGCAGAGGCGGCAATACTGACCTACCCTCCCACATCGTCATGCCTGAAGGCGTATGCATTGATTCCCCAATTGCGACAGCAGAAGACTCTGGCTCATATATTTGGCTGAATCCTTCAATCTTGCAAAAGAAGCGCTAGAATTGTCAACCCCGATTAGCTTCTCAGTACAACTCTCAGCGATCGACCCTAGTGACCCTAAGATAAAACACATGATTGCTTGTCTACGACCATCCTACGTACCCGGCCCCGATGGGATCTCTTCTGTTTTAGTCAAACACAATGGAAATTATTTCGCTTTTCTGTTATTGGATATTTTCTCCTTGTCCCTCCAGTTTGGTCAATAACCCGAACTATGGAAAACGTCTACGATCATACCGAGACATAATTCCGGGGCGAAAACTGACATCCGGAACCATCGACCCATCAGTCAAACTGCCGTTCTCTCACGCATGTTAGAGAGAATTGTTAAGGAACATGCGGTTTCGTTACTATTATCGCACCAACTTCCCTCAACTACGCAGCATGGCTTTCTGAAGTCGCGCTTGTCTGTTACCTGTCAAGTTGATTTCCCTAACCATCTAGCAGAAGCAATTGACTCCGGTCTTCAGTGCATTGTCATCTACCCTAACATGCGAAAAGCGTCTGACAGAGCCCCACATAAGTGCCTGCTATACAAATAAGGTAGGTAAGATGTGACCAACTCACTTCATTCTTGGCTCCCATCGTACCTAGTAGGACGGTCGCAAGTTGTGGATATAAATTATAACATCTCTTCACCTCGTCTGGTCACCAATGGAGTGATAAAGGACAGCATTATGGCCGTTATTCTTCCTACTGCATATAAATGACTTTCTTTCTATTATACGATTTCGGAAGCCTTATTTGGTTGCCGGGGATCTAAAGGTTGTTTACACGTTCCCAAGTTCTCAGCATGCCGCTGAACCTAACAATACCCAAAGCGACTTGAAAGCCATTGAGAGATGGGCTGATATGTGGCAGAGGACGTTTGCAACATCGAAATGTAATATTCTGACGTATGGATGCCAGTTAGAAACAGACGTGTTCAGGCTTCATGACGAGTTCATTCCCATCAACCAGTCTGTTCGCAACATAGGTTTGTGATACTCTAGTTTATTAAACATCAGCGAACATACAAACACTACCTTAAAATAGGCTAAGCAACCACTCGGGCTCAAATGTCACCAGCTAACCTTGAAAGAGACCAGACTAATTGTTTTCAAAATCAGTATCAGACGTTTGCTTGAATATTGCTGTGTTACGTTCAGCAACCTGCGAAAGTATGATTTAGGAGCCGTTGAAAACGTTCAACACGCCGTCACGAATCGTATCTTTGATTATTCAAGCGCTCTTTCATACAGAATTAGGCGCAATGAGCTGAACCTTGAACCTCTGTAGTTATGAAGAGCGCACTTAAATCTCTGCTTCTTCCACAAACTCGCGTGGTGGAAAGCATATGTTGAAACCTATCAGTTGCACTTTTAAGAAACCACCACTTACGAACTGCGAGATAGCGAATCTGTTGTCTCTTTACCTAAATTCAGGAACAGTCTAAAGAGAAATTTCTACCTTCCAAGGTATGGCTCCGTATGGAATAAGCTGCCAAAAGAGATTAGATGTATTGAACATTTTTGCATGTTCAAGAAAATGATAAAGATTTATCTGTCAACTGACAGAGTGAAATGCATTTTAAGAATTCAACTTGATGATGAAAAGCTGTATGAAAGGCCTGATCATATATGATACAGAAGAACATCGACTGGGAACATATTCCACAAGTGCACCAACAAAACTTGATCATCTAGGTTGAGCTGTTACAACCGCTTCACATGCTATTCTTTAACGCAACTTCCTATGCGGTTTTACTCCTTTCAAACTTAATTCCTACCAACTGTCTTCTGATCTAAAACCGAGAGCAAAATTATTTACTGGTATGGGGCCAGGAACTATCTTCGTAATCCTCCCCTCAAATTGACTAATTCGTAATATTTGTTCTGCGATTCCCTTCGCTACATTTGTTCTGTAATGCTAACCATTTCCTTCTTTTCTGGAGTTAACAGTTCAGAAACATATACCGGATTTCAGTGATTGGCGATATCGGATTCCCTATTTAACTTTTTGCCTATGGACAACTCGTGCAGTTATCTGTCTTCGGCTGTCACACCGCACAATTTGATGGTATGATCGGGCCGATCCATTTTTACGCTGTTGTAAAACATATCTGCTTATTTTTGGCATTAACGATATTATACTTGTTGCACTCGATGTTTCTTACTTTACATTCTTCCTTATTTCATCGTTGGCCACGACTGGGCTGATCTCCTGAAGTGACGGATTGAAGCTTCCAGATTATAAAAGACTATACCTATGCAAGGCACATTGCCACCAACTGACTAGCCCTAACTGAATGATCCGCATGACGGACCGGGCTGAGGCTTCATCGCCCATAATGCATGCATAAAAGCAGCCCTAAAAAGAGCACAACATATGTTAAACAGGTGATGGCTTATTTGCTAATTTGCCACACCGGCACGCAGCCAGGTATAGCATGGAAGTGCAGGCGAAACCTTTCGAGGGAATACCCTGCATGGAAGCAGGTCCCCTGGGGACGGTTCCACGGCTGGCCGTATTACTTTACCTGAACATGTGTTTAAATTCATATGTTATTGTTCACTGGCTTTTCAATTTCTTTAATACCTTAAACCTGCCAATTACTTTAGTACCTGTTTTGGATCCATTGTATAAAGCGTGAACAATCGCTTATTTTGTGCTTATTTTGTGTAATCCTGCTGTACACATTGATCAGACCACATAGTTGGACTGTGCCTCGCATCGCCGAGGAATATACCATTTATTTATTTGTTTAAATGACGAGGGAGGAGAGTAAGCAGATGGAATAAACTAAGTCACAAAAGCGAGTAATATAAGGTAAAAGAGACAGGCAAGAATGGAGCGTGAAAAGTGCAATTAAATGGAGCGCACTTAAACACTAAATGGAACTCAGTAGCGACTGACGTGGCGACCGACACGACCCAGCGGTGAAACGCATCATAAAATAAAGTAAGATGTAGCTTGGAACAGTTCGCTCTTCCTTTCAGATGGGTCGCAATCGTCAATCCCACTGAAGTTTCACCGCCATGAAATCTCCGAATACATATAATGTGCAAAGTCACGGTAAAAAAAATGGAACAGAAACTGAAAAAGTGCACGAAAACCCAAAAATGAGTCGAAGTTGCCGAGGTGATAGTTTTGCCGTATAACCGTAAAACTTGGTATGCGAGCGGTGGGATACAACTAACAGAGAGAGAGAGAGAGTATAGAAGGAAAAACGGTGAAGCGAAATATCACTACTTTGTTACCGTGCGCACTCGTGAGACAAAAGCAATGTAAACGTATGACTGAAAAAGTTAAAGGTCAAATGAGAGGGGAAAGTGGAAGTGGGAACAACCTGTCAAAGTTGAGAAAATATAGTCAAATGGCGCTTACAAGTCATAATAAGGAAGTTGGTAAAAGGACAATCACACATCATAACCACGAAGTGACGAGTGGTAATCTGGCTAGGCGCCGGTATTGGCAATCAGCTAAAACAAAGACTGGGAGACTAAGAGAAAACGGTATGATAAACAGCGGTGATTAGAAGACGCGTGCGCCACACACAAAAGCGCCTTCCACAACGCTCACCTGAAAAGCAAGCGACCGGATTCGTGAGTGCAGATGGATCCATAAGCAACGGAACGCAAACGAGTAGTCGCCGAACACTTGTGACAAGCAAGAAATTTGGAAGGATGATGAAGGAGGAACACAATTCCATGAGGACACTAGCCGGCTCCGGTCGGTCAAGCGAAAAGCGAGTGGGGTAGTCCGCTGAGTGTGAGGGGATCTGAACACCGTAGAGACGTTGAGAAGGTTTGTGAAATCCCAAGAGAATCGAACGCGCCACAGTCATGAAGGACGTAGCTTCCCGTGATCTATTTTCACGAGTACTTTGTTTTTCAGTGTTGGATATTAAGCGGATTACTGCCAATTGCTCGCACGGAAGTGGCAAAGAGGCAATGTGATGCGGTGGATCAGACATATCCAGAAAGAGCAGCTCCCCGTTGTTGGAGGGAATAATGGTCGGGTTTACAGAACCTTCATTAAAGCAAACAAATGCACAATAAATGAATAATGTGAAGACACGGAATAATCAAACTGGTAAATCAAACTGGCAAACAGGCTTCAACAAAAACGAACCACTATTCGGATAGGCAATATTCACTAACGCCGAACACATGGCCGAATTCATAGTTACGATTTGCCAGTAAGCAAAGCAACTTACGGCCTGCGCACAGATACTCTCTATCGCTGATCAAAAGAACCATTTGCTGTGTTACTCCACAAAGTTCAAAATAAATCAGACAGCTGACAAAGGTATGAGCGAAATGGAAGAACGGAGCAGTAGAGGATAAAGTCAACCCACTGAAGCATGGATCTGTAATTTATTTATGTTCACTGGTAGTCGCGGTCAGCAAGACTCGAGGTCGCACATTGACGTTGTTCATGTTTGAAGCCCGTGAGGCGTAAAAGCGCCGCTGTTCGTCATACAGTTGCAACGATTGTTCCTCCATTTTGTGTACCAGAATAAAAATCAAGTGAGCCGATAAATTGAGCGTCTAAGCATTTCGTATGGTCGAGAACTACATACCAGCTGGCATATTAAGGCATGAGACAATAGTGAATCGAAGATTACCTGACAGGGTGGAAGTATAGCTAAAATTCGAGTCTGGTCATTGTTTTACAAAATGGCAAGAACACTGGGCTCATCAGATAGGAGCAATTGACAGCATAAGTTAGTGGATTCAACTGTTCGCCGAGCTTCGCAATTGGTATGCAAACGTTTCATCACCACACGAAGTGACTTCCTCAGTGCGCTGCTGGGTCAAACGTAATCCGCTGCCTTGATCGTCGATTTGTGGTTGATTAGCAAGTGACTTTTGAATTGACCTTCTCGATCTGTGCCCCGTGACCATCCGCCTACCCAACTTCTCTGGCAGACACGGGCGATCCGTGGGATGGTTTTGTCCCGGCTGTTGCGGCTGTATTGTTAACGGCTCGTTTAGCTGCTCGCGACGGTTTTAACTTTTTTTACTTCCCTCCGTCTTAGCGCTTCCTAAACCGTGTCAATCTCGACGTGAATGTTTATCGAGTGCTTCGTCGAGTAACATGCCTCGATGTCTAAACAACAAAGCTACGACCTCAGCCTGCTCAAACGACAACAAAGAGAATCGTTCTACCTCCAAGATGACGGCAAGTTTATTCAAACAGCACGGTCTTACAGTGGCTCCCAAACCAACCGCTACATTTAGGAGAACCCTGTCGAAACCCAAAGCTAGACTTGAAGCAAACGGAAGACGAAATGTTGTTTGCAAGATACGGTGTCAAGATTGCGATAAGAACTATGTGGGTCAGACAGGAAGACAACTGTCTACAAGAATACAAGAGCATAAGAGAGCTTGTAAAAACCATTACGCTCTCTCATTAGTTTCAATACATACAGATGAAGAACATCACTTCGATCGGGACAACGCAGGTCCTAGCAAAAGGAGAGACACGAAAAGGAAGAGAGTTTCTCGAGGCATGGTACTCGACGAAGCACTCGATAAACATTCACGTCGAGATTGACACGGTTTAGGAAACGCTAAGACGGAGAGAAGTAAAAAAAAGTTAAAAGCCGTCGCGAGCAGCTAAACGAGCCGTTAACAATACAGCCGCAACAAAACCATCCCACGGATCGCCCATGTCTGCCAGAGAAGTTGGGTAGGCGGATGGTCACGGGGCACAGATCGAGAAGGTCAATTCAAAAGTCACTTGCTAATCAACCACAAATCGACGATCAAGGCAGCGGATTACGTTGGACCCAGCAGCGCACTGAGGAAGTCACTTCGTGTGGTAATGAAACGTTTGTATACCAATTGCGAGGATCGACGAACAGTTGAATCCAGGAACGATCAACCCAAGCTACCAGTACATCAAGTCACTTTAAGCATAAGTTATGAGTGCGCTTACCGGTCGTGTTCGTACAAGTGAAAGAGGAAACTATCTTATGAAAGTGGGTGTTTCACAAACAGGATAAATCAACATAGAACAAACTGGCGTTGAGTTGGAGAGAAAATAAAACGGTGGACGCTAGGCGATTGTGAGAAACAGTTTGAACATGCCCAGAAAGAACGTCTAGGGCTAAGGTGTCAATAGTGATTGTTGTAATAGCCTACCGAAAATTAAAAAGGAAGCCTGGACCGAGGTCTTAATAGAGATTGCGTGTCGCAATCTAAGCACACAGCGCGTACACCAAATCCGACTTTGAAATTAGAGCCTCGATCAAAATCTACTATCTAAATAACAACAGGATCATTCTATACCTCGCACGAATTAGATTTATTCATATTATCGTGCGTTCCCTGCTACTATTGCACTGTTGGCGGGCGCTCGTGTTTTATCCGTTAGTTCAATGCAATTGCACTATCCATTCAGCCCGCGTAATTATCATTAGCTTGCGTTGGTGGCAATCGATTCGCTTTCAAGCTGTTGACTTCCTGTTCGCTCAACTCGCGCGTTCGATCCGCCGCCGTCATAGTCCGTTTGGTATCTTACAATCGCCATATCCTTCTATTTTTCGTATTTTTGTATTTCTGATGTTGTGAGTTCCGTATTCTCTTGCACTGCGAGAAATTTTGCGGCCTTGGGCTGCCATATTAGCCGACTCATTCTGCTAGGACTGCACCTCAGGATACGAAGTATGTTCACCCCACTGCCCTCTCGGCTGTACTCGATTCCGCTAAATGACATCATTCCTGGTCCTTACTTCATAGCTCCTCTCTCCCTCCGACACATCAGTTCCAGGAGTCAGTTCAATCCATACATTGGTCCCCCGGCGCTAGTGGTGGCATCTGCTTGATCCACGATCATGATACTTTTTTGTCGCAGTATTCTCTTGCGTAGACGGTCTTGCAAACCATTCGAAGTTATTCTGGCTGTAGTAGAGTTTTAGCTGACGCTAGCAGCGTCCTTGTTCTACGGCTGTATGGACGTTGAGCAAGACATGCCCCGATTTCAGTGGACGGCGTGCTTCGTTTTCAAGCAACATGGTGTAATCGATGAAGTAATCGAACACAAGCAAGTAATTCTTCGCCTCATGAGTGAAGATATTCAAGGCGACCTTATGCCAAGGTATATCCGGGACTTTACGAAGCAACATGGGATCCATTTAGCTAGCGCAACTCGTGTGTTCGGCATGCCAAGCAGTTTGAGACACAATCCGATATTTGGCTAGTCATTCCGGCTCAAAACATTAGTACCCGAGCTCTCGCTGTAGTTGTTGGCTTCCAGGTGAGCGAGTGTGTTTAAGGTCTAGCATGAAACGTTGCATTGCCTTCGGATAGCGTATATGATGATCGTTAGATATTAATTGGTCTTGATTGATGAGTTCGTCCGGAAGTGGAATAACGGAGTCATCTCCCTGGACAGTATCTCCTTGTCCTCAGGTCAGCCGTTCAATAACGTCTTCTTGAGTAGTTTGAATAACTCGTCTTCATCCATGCAATGTAGTAGTTGTTGGAAACGATTCCCTGTGACAGGAATCAGCTGTCATGGACAAAGTCTAAGTACCCATGCGTTCCGAGCAAGTCTGGACGAACGAAGAAAAGAAACCCTAAATGCTCTTTGATATCAGTAAGGAGTACGAAGTTAATGGAGAGTACAGAAAAACGGTCAAATATCTCCGAAACGTGGACAGTACATGTTTCCGTGGTCCTCGTGACGGAACATGCAGCGCCACATACACATGGTGCCGAGAAGGGACACAACCAAACTTTTGTATTGCTTTCAAAGTATCGGTTGGCTAAGCATGCATCAAGCAGGCTGCTGAAGTGGACGGAATCCTATTTAAGGTAAAGGTGACGAATCTCCGGTAACCTAACGAAGAAGAGGAAGAAGAATTGTGTTCGTGCGACACTTGGCATACTATACAACACTAACATCTTTGCAGTAACGTAGGGTGAAAACCTACTCTTAAACTTGAATTGAAAATGCAGAGATGTGGGGATGACGGTGGGAGTGGATCCGAACCATGAAAGGCGCTGGAAGGATCCAAGCATGGAGAAACAACTGATTAAGGAATCAGGGATGAAATGTAAAACAGGAGTAACGGACGACAGCTGGAAGTCAGAAAGGTCGGTGTGGAAGCGTTTACAGACATAATGATGTCTTACTTATATGACAAAAAGTACTGGATTAGTTTGAGTAAAAACCGCAAACATCGCTAAGCACTTCAGGAAAGCAAAAAAATTAACCGAAACTCACTCAAAAGCTTGGTCACACCGAAAAACAGTACATTTCCGTTCGTTAGTAGAGCGCACAAATAGCCATCGGGATCGAGGCACAACCCACAGAAGCGAGGCAGCGCGGTATCATAAGAGGTAGTCACTTGGCCAGAGCTCTGAGGACAAGTGTCTAGGAGCACAATCCACCTGGTATGAGAAAATGCAAGTAGTAGAGAAGCCTGATAAAAACGAAGTGGAAAGTGTACACTTGCGAGTAAAATGAGTGTCATCGTCACGCACAAAAGATGGGAAATTGAGATTCGGCGGCCATGGCAGTAGAAAACATATCTAATCCACAAGAAATTAGTAACGCGACCAAACCAGATGCGTTTTAGAAGTTTAGGTGGGGAAAAGTGCAAATATGGCGAACAGAATGACAGAAATATGGCTGAAGAAAGAAGTGGAGCAGATAGCAGAGATACTCCACTGAGGGAGAGCATAAGCGAAGCTAGGTGGCGCGCTAGCAAACCATCCCTTTTGAATCAGAATCAAGAAGCAGGTGATACTTTGTGGTACTAGCCGTCGCTCAAAGGTGCCGAGAGTTCGCCTCATAAGCCTCAAGTCCAAGTTCGCCACATTCGCTGCTTCCGAACATTGGAGCGAACTGCTAAGACTTTCTTGTACGATGATACCTAAGTCTCGTTCACTAGTGACCTGTTGCAAAACGTGCTGTCCCAGAAGATATGTGTTGCTGAAGCTGCTATGCACCGTCAGCAGGTAGCACTTTGCAGGGTTCAGTGGGAGCTGGTTCCTGTATGCACATTCGTTAATCCGGTCCAGATCGTTCTGGAGATAGGTACGGTCGGATGCTGAGTGAATTGCTCTCCATATTTTATCATTATCTGCAAATATCTTCATCGGCGATAAAATGTTTTCTGGGAGGTCATTCATGTAAAGTAAAAACAGTAGGGGGCCGAGGACGGATCCTTGCGGCACACCACTGGATACACACAGGCTATCGGAGTGAGTGCTGGGTATTCTTACCTTGATGGTTCTGTCTTGTATGTAATTTTCCAACCGGGTGAGCAGGGAACTGTTGATACTGCAGGCAGCAAGCTTTTGGAGGAGAACGAAGTGATTGATCCTATCGAATGCCTTAGAGAAATCTGATTAAATCACATCTATGGAGAGTCCTTCATCAACCGTCCTGACCCATGAGCCCAGAGCAAGTAGCAGATCGGCGGGGCAAGATCGTCTCTCTAGTCAACTAGTTTGATAGTGGGAGGTGACAATATGACCACTCAGTGATGCGTTGTTGCTAACTTTCTATATGGGTCGGCATAGGTGATAAAGATCCCTGAGGATCTCATACACCAATATGAGATCACCTCACAGATGGTAGTGTTCACTGAAAACTAGGATCTTTAGTTCGAAGTGGTAATGAGGTGGAGTAATCGCTTAACATTCTTGACGCCTTCAGTTATGAATTGTCATGATCAGTAAGGTTATATTTTTGCCAACGGTACCAATCCTGAATGGCGTAGACTATATGTGGCCTCATGTAGGCGAAAAGAAGATAGGGTCAAACGGGCCAAACGCTTTTCGCAGTATGCTTAAGTAGCAGCTGACTTTTTCACTGTCATCTTAGACTGCTTCGATCATCCGAGGTCATCCTGCACGATCACCCCAAAAGCGCTCTCGTGAGAAGCGCGCTGCAAAACATGTTCTCCTTGTCAATATTCGTATGTGCTCTGGTGGTGTATGTTCATTATACTCTTAAAATAAAGCATGTTTTGCGCCGACCACTCGTAAGCCCTGTCGAGAACAGCCTGCAATGCTACGTGGTCGTTCACTCACCTGATTGACCGCCGAATCTCGACGTCAGCAATCTCGCGAGGTCGTTTATGAACACCAGAAATAGCCATGGTCCTAGTACCGAGGCTTGAGGGACGCCACAGTGAACGTCCATCGGGTCGGACAAGGCGCTACGAACCAGCACATTCAAGCGGTGTTAGAGTAGTAATGAATGTATAGAGCCCGGGATAGGGTCACTGATCCCATAGCTCCGAATCTTGTAAAGATGAATGCCGTGGTCTAGAAATCAAGCTAGGCGACGTCAACTGCATCTTTAGCATCGACGGATTCGGTCCAGGTGGCACGGGCTAACAAAATATTCGTGGTACATAAGAGCTCTTGGCGGAACCCATGCTGCTCATGCATGATGATATGGCACCTTCCAAAATATCCCATGAGTGCGTCTGCAACGACAGATTCCATGACTTTAGGTAGCACAGAAGAGCAATCGGGCGGAAAAAAGTGTTATGAGTGTAATGATGGGGTTGCAAGCCTGTGCGTGCGCACAAGTAACCAACTATCCTGAGAAATAATCTTCGGGAACCAACCACATGCAAAGCTATGTGCAAAGTGCTCATTTGCCTAGTCATACATGTCAATAAATGAATAAGACTGCAAATCAGATGAAGCGCCGCTGCCTTACCTGAGTTGAGAAGATGGGCAAGCGGATTCAGAAGCATCGGTATTGCCCAATTCAAGTAGTCCTATGCGGTAGCCACCCCAAGCGACAAACGCAACTTGTGAATAACTGATCCAACAAAAGTGGTTTAGTTCCGTTCCATAGGGCCAACAGGAGGCGAGGGACGATAAACTATGATAGAGAGGGAAAAATCAAACAGCGATGCGTAAAAAGTTACTCAGGTGGGTGTAAATAGGTAAGCGGAGGAAAATGGAATAAAACAAGTTGTCTCCTCATGGACTGCAAGGTACAGAATTACACCAACTATCTTATCAGGTATTCGGTCAAGGTAACACTTTAGCCTAGTAAATAACTGTAGTCCTAAGGCAGGAGCACTGCATCAATAAATTATACATAAAAACAGCATAGAAAAGCATTAAAAGCGAGTGTCGTTTAGCGGCTGGAGAGCGCAACGCACGAGATTGAACCACGTAAGGCTGAGCGACGGAAGAAATTGTTTAGTAGTCGAATAAAAAGGCAGACATCCGGTTCGAAACCAGCAACTAGGTGTTTAGTGGTGTGGTCACCATCAAAAGAAAGAACAGTTAGGAGGACGGTGATGGAGGTCTCCCGCAATCCGAATGGGAACACAACTATTGGACACCAAGGAGATATGGTTCAACAAATGACGTCGGATGAGTGTTATCCGCGACTAACAAATTAAAGATTACGGATAAAGCTATTTATGGTAAGATCCTTACAGTGAAGAATGTGGGGAAAACGCAAGATGGGCTGGACTTACATCCCCGCAGTTATTTCACATATGAAGAGTAAGACGTCTCCAAATGAGCTACAACAAGTCCAGGAAATGTGAATAGGTGCATGCTGTGTCATCCACTTACTCCACAACATGGGCATATTTTGGCCACGGAGCCGTCTTTTGAGACCCAGTGAGCCATTCAAAATCCAGGATGAAGCGCCCAAGGTTGATCTCCTTGCATCGATGTCCATCTACGCCACAGCACAGGTATAACACGATCAGCTCAGGAAAAGAGGAGAGGGACTCCAATTGGATTAGTAAAGGGATCGGTGAATGATCGGGTACATCAACCCACGGAGTAGGGAAAGATACAGAACTGACAGTGGGACAGAGCACATTGGACACAGCGTCTGGGCCCCACCCAAAAGTTATACGAGTAGAACACATAGGAGGAGGAATAACTGAATGCGCCAATGCTGTGAGCTGAACGGAACCTACAATGAAAGCAGAAAAACAGATAATTAGTGGTACTGACCGAGGACGAGGTACACTGAGCCGGCTCAGCAGATGGTCAGGTAAACCTAACTGTGAATCAAGTTGGAAAAAGAACACCGCATTTCATTAATTACAGGTTAAACACTGAAAGAGAGCGGCCACAACATACCCCGCTATGATGACTAGTTGTCATCACCGACAATATCAATGCAATGTTACTTTGTCCCGAGGCTTCGATACCGTAGAACAACTAATAAGGTGCAATAAGAGGAAAGGCGGTACCTAATTTAGTTCATATGTTTAGCAAACATTCTGAGTAAACGACCCCTCAACTTGTCAGTACTTCGCAGAGAAGACAGCTGGTTAATATGCGAGAAAAAGTTGATCATTGATGTCAGTCGCTAGCTACGCCCTGCAAACCATCGAATCAAGGAAAAGTTGGATCGAGGGCACGAGGAGGGAGAGCGAGGCGAACGAGCAACGTCTAGGGTGGTGAACACGAACGTCATTTCCAGCCTCTGAGTAGACCACTGTCACGCGTCACGATATCAAAGAACCGGCAAAAGATATATTCACGGCGAGCGACGAGTGTGTACATGCAGTATGTCCCAAGGCAAAGGACAAACCTGAGCAATACTACGTGGTACTCATGGGCATGCCTTATCAAGGCGGATACGCCATTGCCAAACGAAATAGCGGACTTTTTGTGGAGATCGATAATGACAGAAAGGTGCCTGAGATTCGCAGAAGGAAGGGATCAAGTCTTACAGTCGCAGAAGAGAATACCCACTGCGCTCTCGAAAAACAGGTGGGGGATCAAGGGAAACGCCTTGCTAGTGTCAGAGATGACACCAAGTCAGAAAGGGTATTCAAGCCTTTTTGCGTAAATTTAATGCAGTCCGTGGATCGAAATGCCATGGATCAGGCTACCTTGGCATACCTAGCCATTGCTATTATTATTATTATTATTATTATTATTATTGAGCATCCGATCAGATAAAATGGACAAAGGTTAAAAACGTTAGATGGAACAGTTTAGGATGAGAAATAAGGTAGCGAGTGCAAAAACGCCACTCAGTAAACTTCAGCCGATATGACATCGAGCCACTGATGCGGCTGATCCCAAGGACCGCATACAGGAAGATAAGTACTAACTTGACTTAACGTTACTGTGGGGTTTTCTTTCATCATAGTTCATCATCTAACTGATTGGCCACCTCGCGACTTCGTACGAGTAGGATGACGCGGCTACAAACATTCGGTAAGCGCATGCAGAACACATCAGCAAGCCAGCAGATGTGACAGGAATGCAGTGGGCCCAGAGGGTGTGATACGAGACGTCACGTAAAAAAACTTCAGTGTCAACAGCTAGATTCCCCATCGAGACAGGAACAGCATTTCTGAGGCCCTAGAGATCACACACAGTAACTTCCTAATGTTTTGCGCGCGCAAGAGTCAGTTGTTTGACTTGCATGGCAACAATGGCTGCATCACAGCGTTGTACAACCTTCCCCTGACCACTAGGCTTACAGACCACAGATTCCATGATAGGGATCTGAAAAGTCACAGGAGTCACAGTTATGCGTACAGGAAATTTTCCGGTGGTACGAGCATGAGGTGATATAAATACCGGAAAAAAACAGACCGATCAACAGTTTTGAGTTTGAACGGTGACAATGAAAACTGGCGGTGAGTCGACCCAATTATGGAACGGCACTTTGCAATTTGAAGGCATAGGGTATATGCCAAGGTGTAAAACGAAAGACGACAGCCTAAGTAGAAGCACGTTTATAGTAGCTGAGCTTGATCGGAAAAGTGCCAGACCGCCCGTCAATCGACAACGAGAACTCCTACACTATGAAAGGTGGAAGGAAGCAGAACGGAGTAACTACAAGTAAATGGGCCACAACGTCGAGGGGAAATGGAGACACCATAGCTTTGATGAACTTTACTTACTGTGACGAATTTAGCGATCACCTGTGGATGAGTAAACAGCTACAGGAGTCGTAAAAATATTTTAGAATGAAGGAAAAATATCTCGGGAATGTTCTTCCGCATTAGGACCACCAAGACCAAACAGCTACATGCAAAAACGAGTGAGAAACAAACCATCTACAGGTTAGGAAGTTGCAAAGTGAACATCTGAAAGGTTCGTTAAATTGCACCCAAATCGAACGAAAACTGTTAAAAATTCCCATCATGAATGCGTCGACGTACACTTGTCTATCACAGCGATAAATCCTGGGGAACCAGAAGTTGTAGTCTCTGTAGGACTTGCGGCAGACCAGTAGTGGAAATCGTAGGCAGCAGATAGACTCCATGATCGTAGAAGCGTCCCGGTCAAGGTTTGTGCATCTGACTTCACTTCCATCGGTTGACAAGAAAGTAAAGAGCACAAACCGACTCGGGGAGAGCCTGTGGTCCAAGTGTAAGCAATTGGGCCACGAATTGTGCCATCAAAGGGCGAACCAATGGCTTTGAAGATAAAATCACGCTTGACCGACCATTTATAATTTGAGCATGTGATCAACCGAACTGAAAGACAAGCAAGTGATGAAAAGTACAGCCCAGTGTCCGGTGCTAGATGACAGGAAGTGCATACGGTAGAAGTACGAGTGAAGGGTCAGTGATAGCACTACAACGAGGGAGATTGTGGAGATCGAATAAAATACACATTGAAGTTGACTGTATTATATTTTGCTGCTTAAACGTACACCGTGTAAACCTTACGGATCGAGATTTCTGTATAATGATCAGCTTTCTAGGTTTTGACCACTGGTCCAGTTCAATGGGTGATCAACTTACGTAGGTTCGACTGTAAAACCCAAATGAGCAAAGCCACACGAAAATGAAGTTTTAAATAAGGAGAAATCTGTCGGTTATATTAGCATAAAAAGCTCATGAACTGAACCTACTGAAAGGTGGACTCTTCTGTGACTGCTCACAACGCGGAAAACACAGTGCGGCCAAAACGTCACCATGTTCATCAAATGATATCTGATGGACGCTGTAGTATGATTCCAGATTCTCATCGAGAAGCTCGAAATCGCCATGTCTCTCAGCGTTAGATTCGAAGAAAAGAACATCCAACCCACGAGTTGGACGTCGTCGCGTGGTGGTAATCAGCTGCACCCGAGGTCTAGAAGGAAAGAGAAGTCAGCCATTGGTAGAGTAAGTAGAAAAACAAGTCGTTCACAGGGGTCACAATTAAAACTGATAATGCAGGTCAGCAACCCTCAGCATTACTATAAAATAATATCTTTGAGTCAATCAATGGTTCATTTGTTCTCCGAGCTCGGAGAACAAATGAACCATTGATTCATCAACCCGAGCTACCGGTATTTCGAATCATTTTAAATATCTTTGAGAGTTTATTATTCCAAGGGGAGAAACGCGTGGCCAAAATGGAAGAAACACTCGTCATTTCAGTAGCACGCGATGCGGGAGTACAGAAAATAATTTTGGTAGCTTTGCACGCCTGAACGAGAGCGTAATAACGTCGAAGCGATAATAAAGGCAAACTCCAAGAAAAATTGAAACAACAGGAGCTGGGTCGCGTGATAAAGTTTATATACATATATATATATATACATATATATATATATATTTCCATGTGTGTAAAGGTGGCCGGCATCCGGTTTGGATTTGCCTGTCACTGTGTCGCCTGCGCCTACAGAGGGACCATGGACGGCTTGCGCTGCACCACCCACAGCTCCAACCACACACCCCATATCAAGTGTAAACCAGAAGGAATAAGACCGGGAGGCATGTGGATGGGAGCCACGTTTCATCAACGCAGCCGGCACACACTCCTTCACAGGCAAACACAAACAGGCTGTGTCTGGGAATCAAGCGCACACAAGCCGGTGGCTGGACCGTAATCCGCTCCACACTGAGTGCATGGAACCACACTTCGAGTCTTAAACTTGCCACAAGGACCGTGCACCCCGTCCCCTCCAGTAACGACCAACTGTCTCCTGCAGCTAGTATGGACGAGGTAGTGGTTTATAGACAGGTAGGTAGCTTGTCAACAAGCACATCAAGCGCAGCCACACCGCGGATATCAAGCAACACCCAACCACTTGAAATAACATTATTAAAAAACAAATCAATTAATACATACAGATAAGGGGACAAAACTATTCACTAAATGAAGGTATGAAATAAATTAGTTGTTAAAAAAATCCGCACTAGACGTCAGAAAATATATCTGAAGAAATTAAACAACAGCGAAAATGTCATCGAAGTTAAAAACAATTAAAGTTGTATTTGGAGAAACCGGTGCGTCGTTGGGTTGCGACACGCAACCTCTATTGAAACCTCGGTTCACTTTGAAGTAAACGGGTCATTCCGATCGCGAGGACCGTATCCGAAATGGAAATATTTCGGTGTTGCTCCTCCCAACACTGGCACACCACGACCGCGGTTTCGTCCTGGTTTGGACTCATCAGGTGGCGATAGCCTGGGCTGGCCTGCAACACAGAGCCTAGTAGTTCACGGATGACGCCCTGAACACAACGCTACTGAGATCCGCGAGCAACGCTTGGCACAGCGTAAAGGAATTCAAAGTTGAATTTGGGAAAACCGCTGCGTCGTTGGGTTGCGACACGCAACCTCTATTGAGATCTCGGTTCAGTCTGAGGTAAACCTTGGTCATTACGATCGCGATGACCGAGTGTGGAACAACCATCAGATTACTATTGGCACGAAGCTGATGGTGTACAAATCCATGGTGCTGTCCGTTCTTCTATATGGCAGTGAAACGTGGACGACGTACCATAGGGATATGGGATAACTCGATCGGTTCCATCAATAGTGCCTGCGACTGATTCTGCGCATTGGATGGTGCGACAGAGTTGGGGACACGAAAGTGTTGTGCCGAAGTGGAATGTATGCAGTGGACTGTATACTTATGCTGAGACACCTGAGGTGGCTCGGCCATGTGAGCCGTATGGCTTTGACGCGGATACCGAAACAACTTAGATGGTCAACTGAGTATTGGAAAGCGGCATGTGGGGAAACCAAAGTTACGTTACCAAGACAAGCTCAAAGTGAGTCTCTCAAGTTGTAATCTTGAGTGCAGGTAATGGGAATCCAAAGCAGTTGATCGGTGTGCATGGCGCGATCTGATCACGAAGGCTGTTGCCGAGGTGCAAGAAAAAGTCCTCGTGTATGCAGAGAAGAAGCGGCAATTGCGAAAGCGGCAGGCGCTGATGGGTTGTACTCCATCGACAGCGATCGCACGGTGCTGTGGCACATGCGGTCGCGAGTGCCTGAGTCAGGCAGGCCTAGTGAGCCATGATCGACGTTACTCGGACCAACACCGAAACGATGACGGGTCCTGCAGAGAACAAAGGCAGAACCGGCGCAGCGTTTGTAGGTACGCTGCATTCGATTTACTAACCGCTTGCTTGCATGATGGGTCCTTTTATTTCAGATGGTGGGTTTGTTATATTGTCTCATTATTGCCTACGTGACCTATCTTCTATTAGATTGTACACGTCGCTTAAGCTAATTGTAGTTAACTTCGATAAAATTTTTGCTGTTGTGGAATTTCCTTAAATAGATTTTCTGACGTCTTGAACTTAGAGCAGATTTCTGGGCAACTTTTTTATTTCATATGCTCATATGTTGTATCCCATGCTGGGGCTGATGTTGCATTCATGATGCTTCATCGCAGTTGAGCCAAATCAACTTACACTTAAATTAGATCTTTTTAAGCTGGAGAAACTTAATCCCACTTTAATTGGTATGTTCTGCTTACCTGAATAATCTTCTATTAACTTGCACACGTTGCTTACGCTGATTGTGATTATCTTCACTAACTGTATCGCGTTTATAGCAGTTTTGGTATAACTTGTGGACATTTAGTACCTATAGATTCGTTGCCAACCAACTTACTTCATACCCTAATTTAAGGAAGTTATGTCAACATAGCCGAATGCTTCAACAGATATATTTTATTTGTTAATGTTATTTCAAGTGATTGGATGTTGCTTGACATGCCCGGTGTGGCTGCGCTTGATGTGCTTGTTGACAAGGTACCTACCTGTCTAGTACCCACCACCTCGTCGATACTGGCTATAGTAGATAGTTGGTCATTGCTGGAGGGGACGGGGTGCACGGTCCTTGTGGCCGTGCTAGACTCGAAGAATGGTTCCATGCACTCAGTATGGAGCGAAGTACGGTCTAGCTACTGCCTTGTGTGCGATTGATTCCCCAAATACAGTCTGTTTGTCTTTGCCGGTGAAAGAGTGTGGGCCGGCTCTGTTGAGTGAACGTGGCTCCCATCCACATGCCTCCCGGTCCTATTCCTTCGGGTTTACACTAGATATGGGGTGTGTGGATGGAGCTGTGATTGGTGCAGCGCAAGTCACCCATGGTCCCTCTGTAGGCGCAGGCGTCATGTGGCTGTCCACAGTGACAGGCAAATCCGAAACCGGATGCCGCCAATTAAATATATATATATATATATATATATATATATATATATATGTGTGGGGGGGGGTGTGAACGACGCGTTGCTCTGGGTCTGCCACAGTCTTCTGTCCTGAATGCTTCCGTGTGGGGACCGCTGGGTGGGTGTTAGACTACAACCAGAGGCGTAGTAATGGAGATGGTGGTGGTCCGAGGGGAGGGGATTATAGGGGACGCTATGTTCAGTCAGATGATTGTTCGATACCAAGCGTAAACGGCTAAAATGCCAGATAACCCGACAGCTGAATATCGTAATACTGCTCTGGATAATCAAAAAACTTTCGCGCCATCTATCAAAATTGCAGGGCGAGTGGAAAAGAGCGAGGGGAAAATCAAAAAATGTACCAGCAGAAGGGCAGTGTAAGCGGATGATATCGCCATCTGTTGATTCCGGTAGTGGTTAGCTGGGGCACCCCATCCTAGTATCCAACACAAAAAAGCAATCAGTAAGGTGACGGGGGTAGGTACAGAAAGATAATACGCTCACAAAGTTCAATGTGTGCATGATGTTAAGACAAGTCTGCAACCACGGCAACGGTATGTCGATTGCGGACATTATCCAATGTAGGCGAGACGTGCTGCGCACCTTAACAAGTCAAAGTAGTCCATCTTCATCTCGGACGTATTTCTACTAGTTTATTGCGATCCCGCCAAACAACATTCTGCTATGTTCACATACATAACATGTGAGTACTTCGGTCCTGATATGTCCAACGATCAATGGGGAAATGACTCACGCAGCAACACAACAACTACAACGTGTGTTGCGGCAGCTATATGATAGCGACGCACTAAATCCGCTAGTGAGACATCACAAGCAGGCTTGTTTGTCATGACGACCTATGATCATTTCGAGAAGGCAGTGTTACCAACGCTTTCAAAGAAATTTTATTGAATTTATTCCATATAGCCTAACCACCGACCCGAAAGAGCACGAGACATTGAAGTATAGGAGTTCTGTATTGACCTCGGATCAAGGTTGTCAATATGATCGAGTCATTGAGATCAAGTTAGATTCTTGGGAAACACATGTGAACGGTCCAATCACACCTGACTTGGCTCACCCTATTTCGGAGGTGTCTTCAGTGCTGCTGTAGTAGATGCAACAACGTACCACTTCCGCTGTGAATCGAGTTGCTGAATGCAAGTGTCTTCACTGGACAACTTTCGTTTTCATTATGGGAAACGCTCATGACCTAATTGCAGCAATGTTCTTGTGGGTTGCAGCTGCGCCCGGGCTAACGCCTCAGTTTTCATGGGCCCAGCAAACTTCTGTCGCGCACGCCCGTAATTCTTAATGTAAAGCTGTGTTATGATGGCCTGAGCGATAAAGCTGCGTAGGAGTTCGGAACACACCGTACGCGACTTGCACACTAAACGGTTTGAAGAAACCCGGCACAGACATACAGCTGGCTCACCAGTTGAAAGCCAGTGGCTTCGCTGTGACCGAGACCACGCACCTTTTTACTAGGGTATCCCATGGTAGTCACATCAGCAGTTCATTCTATATATGGATGCGTTGGGCTGACCTCGACCTTTTTTCATCAGTTTTGTTTAATTCAGGTTTATGAACATCAGTAGAATTATCTCGAAGCATACCACCACCTTTTGCGGAAATGTTTGAAACCGTTTCACTATATCCGGATCTGCGTCGTCACCACTCCTTGTAGTTGGTTCAAGTTGCCTTTCTTGCCGCAAGTCTTGTTTCAGTCACGTAAGCAGTTCTCTGTATTCCTCGTTGGTGCTAATGGCTACGTAGCGTTATATACCGCATGGTATCCTCACATCTCCCTTGGATCACACTAAGAGTTCACTATCATATTAGGGGCTTACTTAACATAGTTGATTGGGGGAAATTTCTGCCAATCGGTGTATTGGTACATTGGCGGCCTGTGTGCTTGTGTTCGAAGCATTCATCTTCATTTGGCCGTGCTCATAAGATGTAATGGTTGCATCGATATGTATTGGCTTCTGATAGACCAGCAGACAGAACGGGCACAGCCAGAGAGTGAAAAAGCAATCAGATATCCTTTCGTTAATGAGTCTACCAGTGGACTCGTGAACTCTGTATTGACGATACAAAGCCTAGATTAAGGAAATCACATGAGGCAGGAACGGAAAACTGAACACTAGTGAACCTATACTATACGCATGGTCTGGGCAGAGTAAATAAAACGCGAATTCCTGTTACCATGTTCTGTACGTCAAGTTAATTACAGTAAACAACTTATAAATAGGTTTACAATTGTAATGAAAAACGGACACTGAAAAACGTGCGGTGGCGTGCGGAAACGTCAAAGCGTAGCACTATGCTAATCGGCAATCTGTCAAAGGTGAAATATTTGACCAGATAGTGTCAATGATGTGCTGCCGTGTGGTTGGATCGGTTCAGATTGAAGTAGACTTCGGTCATTCCGATCAAGAGAACCGTATCCGAAATGGAGATGTTTCGGCGTTGCTCTTCCCAACACCGACACCCGAAAACCGGTTTCGTCCTCCTTTGGGCTTACCAGGTAGTGATAGCCTGAGCTGAGATAGAACTCGGGGCCTGGTGATTAACGGATGACGCCTTGATCCAACTTTGAATTCCTTACTGCAGTGCCAAGCGTTGTGCACGGATCCTACTGGCACAGTGATCAAGGTGTCAGCCGTTAACCACAAGCCCCCGAGTTCCACCCGAGCCCAGACCATCTCCATCTGGTGAGTCTGAAGGAGGATGAAACCGGTCTTGGGGTATCAGTGTTGAAATGAGCAAGATGGAAGCACCTCCAATCCGAAATCATAAAGCGTTTTATAGTGCATGTTTTCGAAGTAAACATGTGTAAATTTCAGTAAAGAAATAAGGGAATAGGGATATCTTGTAGGGATATCTTGTACTAACATAAACAATCTATTTTCGGAAAGGAAGCAAAGCTCATTTGAGCTTTGTAAGCTTCATGGATTACCTACTTCAGCTCAGCACACGGTCTAGCCTAAAATGAGGTGATGTTTCACAGAGGGAGGAAGTGTACCATTCAGGCTAACAGCGAGCGGAAAGCGGGTAAGTGCACTTGATCAGACAGCATTGGGCTCCGGAGAATCGGCCAAGGAAATTGAAAAACAATGGCAATGAGCTAGGTAAGTGACCATTCCGCTCTTGAGTATCAGTTTCTTTATCGTCTGCTACACTATTGTACAACATGGTAGCTGGCTCGTAGCCTAAAGGTAACAAGCTTGTTTTATAATCTGACCGCGTAGGTTCGAGCCTGCGTAGGGGCTGGGCGACGCTCGCAGTATCCTTAGCCCACGTGCGACCGGTGGTGGCGTCGGTACTGCGTCTTGACGTACTGCTGATGACTTTCCCACTATTGTGACTAGTCAGTTAGTCAGTGCTGCGCATCGCCTGGCTCCAATGGAAAGCGAACCTACGAACATTAGCGGCATGCGCTACTAACCGCTAGCTAATGCCACTAAACTACTGCGAACAGCGGCAAACTGTCATAAATTACAAGTTAACTGGATCATAGCCTTCAGTGAATATATACCATTAAGCCCAAAAGACTTGTGAATACGGTTAATAGGTTAATGGAAAACACTTTGCGGCAAACTGTAGGCAGACGGGTTAGTACTTACCGCCAACATAAGGTAGGTTCCAGGCCTCCAACTTGTTCAGATGTCGAAAAAAGTTCACCGGACTGGGTGAAAATTCGAAGGTACCTTTGGTTGCCTTGCTTAGTATCCAAGCAGGACACGACAAAATACTGCCCATCATCGCGCCAAGCAAGTGTTTGAAGACCGCTATCGCTCGACGGATAGGTCATCTGATAGAGGTGCATCAGCAGAGAAACTCGGTGATGATGTAGGGCGGAAAAGTATTGAATGTGGATTCTGATAAAACGGTACACTGCCAATCAATATTTGATGAAAAACTGACTGAAAGCGGAATCGTGCTGAGAAAACGAGGTTGCGTTTCTCCACAGAAAACACTAACAGCACGTGAACAGGTTGATGATTATTCTATGCAATAATGTGGGGGCATGGTTTTGAAGTGTAGGAAAAACCTTATTGAGGGGCGTTGAAGAGAAGAATACCTCAGAATGCATAAAAAGACATTTGGGGCATTTGGAATTCCCAAGAACTGAGTGTTAAGTTGCGAATGCGTGCATCTTGTAGGCAATACAAGTTTGTTTTGTCGGTTGTGAATATGGTTATTAATATGCCACTCGCACATTTTCAACAGACTTGGGAACTGTAATGGGAAACGTCCAGGAACTGGATAGCAGAGGAGTGGACCGCACTTCAAGAGAAGATTCAAAGCAACTTGGTTTATTTTAAGTGACGAATAGTAAGAAATTGCTGGACGAAAATAAGAGGTGCAGGCTAATATCGGTAATAAAGCGTAAGACTCAAATGCAATCTAACTTGCGGTATATTGATACTCGATGAATTAAATCGCAACCTGCCAGCAAAACAGTACTAGGCAGAAATGCGTCGATTGTGTCGGAAGTATGTCGCTACGGTGAGAGAGGACAAGGTGAGGAAGTAAAATGCAGTCATCAGGACGCAGATAAGTTGCCAAAACAAAGACGGTAAGAAACTTCGCATGAGGACGAATTCTAAGCGTGAAAAGAACAATTATAACAAAAATGGAGGCAAAGAAACCTAAGGAAACAGGAATTCCAATGCATCAGGGAGATGAGTGATTGTGCGTCAGTGCCACAATCGAACGTGGAGGGTGCAGAACAGCTCCTGTTGCCGGGCGCCGAAACTGATGGTCTACATAGTAATAGATGACATGAACGATCAGTATACAAAACGCTCCGATAGCTGTACGACTAGCAACCAGCCGTTGGACACAATGGGACGCGTGAACAAATAAAAGAGAACGTGACATTTAGGACACAAATCTAGACATACGCAAAAGTGCAGGTCAGCGGAGACTTTCCCGAGAATGAGGATCAACAACACCTAGTTACGTACTATCCATAAGCCCCAAACCTGGGGTTCGATTAAACTGAAAAGTTTATTTTTCGAAATTAACATAAGAAATCAGCTCAGTGAATAGGCTAACGAATGTAGAGGTATGAAAGATGGGAGCGATATAGGTAAGGTGCTAACATCGACAAATATACGGATAAAGTGATTGCATGTCCGGTTCCTGTCATGATCAGTCCAAGTTTGGTAGTTGGGAAGTGTTAGTGACATTGGAGTCCAGAGCTGCGAAGAGCCGCAAGATAGCTATGTCCACAACATGTGTATTGCAACTACCATATACGCAGTGCAAACATGGAGGAACAGGATCGAAAGGGATGGAGGCAGAAACCAGGAGTATGTGTGAGCAGAAGTACACCCCACCAAGATACACCACTTATGCGTAAACAAACCCACGCGGAGGTATTCCAAGACCCAAAGATTCTAGATGTATGGTGCGCCACGAGAGAATAGGTACGTTTTTAGGGTGGTGGGGAGTGGGTAGCTCTCCCAGCTTGGTTTTTGGCTGTAGACATTTGTCACCGTGCTAGCCAAAAGAATCATTCCCATGCCAAGCGAAGAGCAACCAGGAAAATACATTTGAAAGCAATCTTCATAGTAAGAATCTGGCCTGAAGGAGCCGGTGACATTAAGGTTGCGTGAATTGTTATAGCACATGACTACTTCGGTAGTCGCGGGATCAAAGTGCACAAAAAGAACAATGTCGAAGAGCAAAAGTCAGCTAGACATTGCGGAAGTGTAATGCATCTCACCGGGTTCATTACATATGCCATAAAATAAATACGAGTTTAGTCTGAAATCAGGCCATCGTCGGCATTCAAAAGACGAATGAGACAAAGGCGCGACAAGCAACAGCCAACATAAGATAGCGTAGATTGTGGTACAAGTACGCAGGCAGGCATGTGAGGTACGCTGTGTGACCACAAAGCAACTGTCAGCATGTAAAAGCACGGCGATGGAATATGAAGCATCAGGGAAAGAGAGCATAATAGGTGAAGAGTAACGGACAACCTCAGACTGCGAAAGCGAAAGCTGTTTCCCCTTTGACCCTTGAAATTGTGTCTCCTTTTTGCCCCATCCCACGGTGACGGGTGCGGCTGAAACAAAGTGAGCGGAACTTGTTTCACATAGCAAATGGAAGATCGATAACGTGAAACCAGAAAAAAGAGGCAGATGCGATATAGCAAAAACGAACTCAGCACAAATTGCAAAAATGACAAAAAGATGGTGAAAAAAGTGTCACAGAGCACATTTGGACAGTAAGAAATTGATGTCTCCAGTATGCTCCCGCACAAAGCAAAACGCGAATAAGGTAATAGAAAGAGTATGGCCAAGGGGAATGGAAAATGTTAAATGTAAAGCACATCACATTACTAAGTTACGTTCATTAACTGAATGCAATCAGACTAACCCAAGGGGCATACAAAGTAGCAGATGCCGAACTTGTTGCAGTCACTTTTACACACCTCGATGTGAGCTTTTTTCAAATATTTTGGCAATTCTGTTTAGTTGGATTACTTGTGATGACCTCAATGTTGTCCCATTCCGTCGATACGTCACTAAATTCGTGAATAGTTGCGTCTGTCCACAAAGCTAGAAATGGTTTTAGACGAGTCATGAGAAAACATTCTGGAAAATTGGATAGATGCAGTTTTGGCTGGCAAGCTAAGTCGACAAGACACAAAGAACAAAGATTCCGACCAGCAAAGTTCAAACACCAAGAAAAAATAGTACCTAGGGAAATAACGTTAAATTTGCGCCGATTCACAGCAGGAAAGCAGTACAGAGACTTACGGAAATGTATGTACAATTTAGTCCGTACCAACTTGTGACCAGTGCCACAGTCAGCTCCCCGCAGTGCACGTATCATGCGTACTTCAGGTAGCCCATGTTGGCGTACTATGACAGTCGAGCAGATGAATGTGACCACTCCGTGGGTGTTAAAGTAGTTATATAACTGGCACGATGCAAACTGTGTTCATGATCGTCAGGCTGTAAGTGACGCACAGTGAGAGCAGCTTGTCAGCGTTCCCACTGGCTGAGCCAATACCATGTGGACCGATTGCGACTGTCCATACTGCGGCAGCTGATATCGGATTTGCCTGTCAATACGGTCTCCATACGGACAACCACAGGACATCTGCGCCGACAGAGGGACCATGGGTGGCTCCATCCACGCACCCCGTATCCAGTGTAAGTGAGAAAAAATACGACCGGGAGGCATGTGGATGGGAGCCACGTATAGTCAACAGAGCTGGCTCACAATCATTCAACATGCACAGCAACAACAGCATTTCTGTCTATTTATGCGGGGAATCATGCGTACCAGACGCATAAACGGCGGTGACAGGGCTGTAGTCCGCTCCACACTGGTTGCATGGAACCATTTTAAGAGCCTAGCAAGGCCAAGAAGAACATGTACCCCGTCCCTCCTAGCAATGACCAACTGTATCCTGGAACCAGTAATCGAGGTGGTGGGGATTAGACTGGTGGGCACCTTGTTAACATTCATAACAAGCGCAGTCACACCGCGGATGTCAAACAACCAAGACATGATTTGGAAGAAAATAAACACGCAAAATTGAAGCGGAATATGTAGCAGAATAACAGAAATGAGCAAATCAAAGTGGAACATTTTTATCCATGTAAAGAAGATAATATATGTATAGCTAACAGTACTAAGAGTTTACATGCTTGGCAGCATCCGTTTCCGGATTTGCATGTCACTGCGGCCCCACGGGGACAGCCACAGCCCTACAGAGGGAACATGGGTGGCTTGTGCTGCACCACCCACACACACCCCATATCCAGTGTAAACCCGAAGGAATAAGACCGGGAGGCATGTGGATGGGAGCCACGTTTACTCAACAGAGCCGGCCCACACTTCTTCACAGGCAAACACAAGCACGCTGTATGTGGGGAATCAACCGCACACAAGGCGGTGGCTGGAACCACTCTTAGAGCCTAGCATGACCACGAGGGCCGTGCACCTCGTCCCCTCCAGCAACGACCAACTGTCTCCTGGAGCCAGTATTGACGAGGTGGTGGATAATAGACAGGTAGGCGCCTTGTCCACACGCACATCAAGCGCAGCCACACCGAGCATGTCAAAAAAGGCCAATCACTTAAAAAACATTAACAAATAAAATATATCTGTTAAAGCATTCGGCTATGCCGACATCATTTTCCCCTAAATTAGGGTATGAAGTAAGTTGGTTGGCAACGAATCCGCGATAAGTACAAAATGTCTACAAATTATTCAAAAAACGCGATAAACGCGATACAGTTAACGAAGATAACCACAACCAGTGTAAGCAACGTGTGCAAGTTGATAGAAGATTTTGCAAGTAAGCAGAACAAACCAATTAAAGTGGAATGAAATTTATGCAGCTTAAAAAGATCTAATTTAAGTGTAAGTTGGTTTGGCTCAACTGCGATGAAGCATCATGAATGCAACATCAGTCTCAGCATGAGGCATGGGTGACCAAGAGTTTGCATATAGCCATCGAATTAAACATGAAAATTAAAGGGAAATAAAATTTGGCAAAACACAGAACGAGCAAAATGTTTTTGCTTGTTTTTCACATACCTACTTTTCCTTTTCTCAATTTCAATATTTGAGGCATTAAACATGTGGATCAATACAGTTCAATACACAGTTCTTCCAATGACTCAGTTGCAGGTCATGTTTTCGCACGCGTCAAGCTAATGGCACTCCTTGGGTCTCCATCCGCGATGACGTACGGGTCCGATGCAGCTAACCGTTACATTAGCGATTTCATTTTCAGTCGATAAGTGGAAGACTGATCGCGCGGTTGCACGATGGTACGATTCTGTACAAGCGAATAGGGCGCGATAGGACAAACGCTCAGGCGCCATACGTAGGACATGACCCATCCATTGTAACTGGCGCAGTAAACTCGCATCACCACCAATTCGACTTGGAGCATATCGAAATCTTCAGAGAAACCACAAGCCGACAAGCACGTGCGTTTTTTGAAGCCTGGTATTCAAAACAGAACTCGAACAAAAAGCATTTGGATCTCGCAGTCTCCTACAGGGCTCGGCGAAACATGCTTCTGAAGGCATATTGACGGTGTTACCTTCTGGCAACGAAACGTTTGCAAAGTAATATAGCTAGGAGAGCAATGCAAGAACCGAAACCACCTCGTTGAAGGGAATACTAGCATCCGCTAGGGAGCGATGTTTAACGTCATCAAATCAACCGTTGTCAAAGACGCATGTCCTCCACGCGAACTGGTCAGGACTAGCTAACATACAACACTGAACGAACAGATGCACTGTAAAGGCTGCCCTTCATCGAAATACAAACGTCTCGCCGGCGCCAAAAGTGTGTCAGCATGACAAAGGCTGATCGGGCTTTGACGATGCGCAGAGAAACTTCCTTGTTGATAGTGACGCCAGCAGAAACAGAGTTCCCAAGATAAAGGAAACCATCTTGTTTAAATTGTGCAGCTTCAAGGGTGAACATGGGAGTAGATGCGGTCTAATGCAGGAGCAGCACTTTACACTTCGAAGAGGCGAAACTCTTGCCATACCTAGATGCTTTAATCGCAGAACGATTCAAAATGAGTTGCGTGCTCTGCTGATCGTCACCAAGTAAGATATCATCTGGATAGTCTAAGCAGATCAGTTCTGCAGTACTCAGTAGCGTATACACAGTTCCTGATACATCAGCGTCAGAGTTGTAGATATCAGAGTATGCTTGACGTTACGGCCGAAAGTTGAGTGCTCAGTCTGTATCATCACTGGGATGTTCAAGAAAAGTGTCATCACATTCATACATGCAATTAGGTTGGAAGATCTTGATTGGTTGTCATCGTTCAGGTACCTTATTCTCAACGCTTCCAAGTACTGTGACATGACCTTTTCTTACGTCCGCACTAGTAAACTATGGACTATGAGAAATACCTCTCGCATCTTAGTTGTAAGTGACCACAACACACCCAGTGCAGTCACTGCCAAGTACCTTGGTATGCTTTACCTCAAAATTTACCGTGGTAAACATACGTTGACGAAATGTTTCGTAAAGTGAGAAAATTGACATTTATGCTCTGAGACTCAGCGTTTTCAGTATACTGCACAATATAAATTCGCTTGTGTTAGACCACGTTTTGCGCGATATTCCGAATTGAACACCCAAAAATTTCTCCGAAAATATTTTAGTCCAGCCGAAGAAAAATCAAAAGTCTAACGACCTTGACCGCGAAAAACGTGTTCACAAAAATGCCACCAAACGTAGCAAAAAAAGCCGCCGAAACGCTGTACTACTACGCCAGACGTAGCCAAATATGTAGGTGGCTCAATGACCTTCGGCTTGTAGAAAACGAATGTCAACTGGCAAAACTGGCAGTCTCCCTGCCAAAAATCCTATCCAAAACTCCTTATGCTGGCAATCACGCGGAGGAATGGAAGGTTCTAGAATCTTCGAAATCAATGCACGATCGAAGATAATCGATTAATTGCTAAAATAACGGGTTTTCCTTTATGCTTTTACCTTTCCCCGGTTATCTTGTTTTTTAGATCTTATAAAATCGGATGCGCAAACAACTGTGATGGACTGGCATTGGTGTTTTTTTGTTTCTTCGCACCTTGGCTCCAGCATGCGCTCGATTCGCCAAAAAAGCCCTATCCTGCAGCTTGACTTCTGGCACTCAAGGCGCAACTATAGGAAGCCCGCATGGCCATATCCCCTAAGAATCTTAACACCATCTATCTCTCTGAAGGGTAGAGTCTACAATGCAGCAGTACGTTCGACCCTACTGTACGGTTGTGAAATCTGGTCCCTTAGATCAGCCGACATAAAGATGCTAGTTACGTTCGACCACCGGTGCATTCGCAGTTTGGCCCACATCTGGTGGGAACACCGCGTGAGTAACGAGCGTGTTCGACGCCTTGTTTACGGCACAGAAAAAGGAACTGAACCGCTCAGCACCGTCATTTCACGCACCAGGCTCCGATGGCTTTGCCAAGTGCTACGCATGCCAGCCCACCGACTCCTGCGACGTGCGTTGTTTGTTCGCCGGGGGTGTGAATGGAAAAAGAGGACAGGTGTCCAAGCGATGGCTTGGTCGAG